GCGGGGGCTGAGGAGGGAAGCCCAGTCTTCCTGGATTGGCTTCCTTGTCTCCAGGGCTGGGCAAGGCTGGGGTGAGGGGACACTACAGGAAGTGGCCTGCACTGGGGTGTGGCATGGAGGGATGGTGCCAAGTGGGCTGGGGCGCCAGTAGCTCTGTCCAGCGCAGCCAGACTGGCCCGAGGCTGTTATCTGACCAGCAGAGCCATTTGGTTAGCATCGATTGGCTCAGGGCAAAGCAGCTGGCAAGGCTGGGGCAGGAGGGTGGGGGAGAGGTGCCCTGTGGGGAGGGCGGGGGCTGTAGAGCCAGAGGGATTGGCCACAGGACTGATGAGTCTCTGAGGCTCCAGGAGCCCTGCGGACCTGCCTTCAGGGGATTCCAGTCCGTGGGGCTGTCCCTGCGCTGGTGTAGGGGGAGGTGGTGGGGGTGGGGGATCTGAGACCTTGGGGCCAGGGAGGGCCTGCCCCAGGCAACTTGGAGCTTCTGGATTTGAAGGAAGGGGGTGAGGGATCTGAGACCTTGGGGCCAGGGAGGGCCTGCCCGAGGCAACTTGGAGCTTCTGGATTTGAAGGCAGGGGGTGGGGCCTGTTCCACCACCCTCTTCACCAGCTTTGTGGCCTCTGCCAGCCTCTCGGCCCCCACCTCCAACCCCCATGTGCCTCATTTCTTCTGCGATAGGTGTGGTGGTGTGAGGAGTCCATGTAAAGAACCTGATCCGTGTTTAGGACTGGGTCCTCCTTGGTTAGCTCCCTCCTGCTTCCAGGGTGGGCAAGCTGCAGGACCCCTGCCACTCTGGTCATCTGGCCTGGGACTGGACCAGAGGTCCTGTCAGTGCTGGTTCCAATGGTGACCTCTCTGGCCTCCCCAGGCCTGGGTGTCCCCAGCCTCACAGAGCTGGTGTTACGCTTCTTGGAAGCTCTGGCTACTCATAGAGGCAGAGAGAAAAGGGGGTCTGGGGTAAGGGAGGGGCACACTGCCTGTTTCCCCACCTGAGTGCCTTTGCATATGCTGTGCCTTCTGCCTGTTATGCCCTTCCCCCCCATCCTGCCAGGTCTAGCTCCACAGGACCCTTCATAAGCACATCTGGGGTTGCTGAGTAGCCTGGATGAGGTGCTGCCCATGTTCCAGCCACTCATCCCCTCCCCCTGCCAGGTCCCTCCCAGCAGGTGAAGGGTTTTGTGTTTTGTAGGAAGGAGGACGTGTAAACAATACAATCTCTACTGGGGTTATTCTCTATGCCACCAGGTGAGCAGAAGGCTTCATGGAGGAGGTGGCATAGGGGTGGCAGAGACCTTCCCTGAGCTTCCCGTTATATATACACCCTTAGGTGCCTACTCTGGGCCCCAGCACCTGACCAGACTGCCTGGGATTGGGGACCCCTCTATCTGCTAATGAACACACGAGGGCTTGCCCAGTTCATCCGGGGGCTCCTCCCTGCCCTAGCACATTGGACACTGCAAGAGGGCAAGTACTGAAAGGAGGAAAGAATGAATGAGCCTGCGGAGCCTCAGGTGAGCTCAGATGTGTGGGAGGCCAGGAGGTTTGGGAGTAGCTGAGCAGTCAGTGGGGCGCGTGTCCCTGGAGGAGAGAAGGAGGAGAGCCTGAGGAAGGAGGGATGAGGCCCAGCCTGGCTTTCTTCAGCCCCTTGAGGCAGAGCAGCACCCCCTGCTCCACCAGGAGAGGGCTGAGGAGGTAGATGGGAGGGGGTGTAACTCCCCTTCACAGGCTGCTAATTTGTGATCTTAAAGTACTCAGCAAAGACACCCGCCTCATTGTTAGTACCTTAATCAGGCAATCAGCGGGGTTGGGGCTCCCACTGGCACATGGAGGGGGTACAGGAGGAGCTGCCTGGCTGGGTGACGGTCCAGGACTGAAGCACCCATTGGCTTGAGCACAGGGGCTAGAGGTGGGTGAGTTTGGCTGGGAGGGCTGGCCAGGGCCTTGGAGATGGGACCAGCTTCCAGGGTGGAAAAGCAAATTCAGCAGGGACCCACCCCAGTGCCCAGTGGAAGGAGTCAGCGTTAGGGCAAGGGCAGGTTCCTTGGGCTGGCTCCCAGGCATGTGGGCAGCACAGAAGGATGAAGAGCGGCTCCAAGCAGTTGGCTGGGGGCCCTGCCTCCTCCTGGGCCCCTCTTATAGGAAGGACATGGAGGGCTCCTGCCCTGGGTCCTGCCTTGACCCCACACACCTGCCAAGGTGTGTTCACTTGCTGGCTACTCAGCCCATGCCTAGATTTGGGGGCACTTGTTTTTTTTTTCATCCAAACTGGGGTCTCTGCTTGGTTTCCCTGTGCCCCGACATTCCCTGGGGGCATCTAGGAATCTTCTAGACACCTTCTAAGGAAGGGTTATGGCTCTCCTTGGGTCCCCCAGCTTCTCAGGGGACACTTCAGAGAAGCCCAGCCCCATGGCCTTATGGGGACACAGCCACAACATCAGGTGGAAGGGTTGTCGACCCCCATCTAGGTCAGTGGGGGCCAGGGAAACCCCCCACCACGTAGTAATGCTGGGGATCAGAGGAGCGCAAGCAGGAGCACTTTGTAAACTTCATAAGCTGCACAAATGTCGAGTGGTATTAGTACTAAGCCTGCCATAGCTTACCCCTGCCCCCAGGGTCTGGTGTGGCACTGTGTGTCCCACAAGCACCAGTTCATGGCCATGGCCTGGTCCCCTTTAGCACAATGAGCCCTGTGAAGGCCCTTGAGCTGGGAGGGGGCCCCCAGGCCCCCCCAGAATGGCAAGGTGGGGACCGCTTCCCTGGGGTGAGGTTCCTGGGAGACAGCAGCCTGGGCAGGGGTGAGGGGTGCCTGCAGAGAGAGGGGAAAGGGGGTGTCAGATTCTGTGGAAGCTGCAGCCAGTGTGGGGTGGGCCCTCCTCCCACCCCTGGCTTTTGGAGACTCAAAGCATCTCGCAGGCTCCCCAAGACTCAGTTGGGGCTTGGTGTCCACGCTCCTAGTCCCTCACACTCTTGCTTCCCCCTGCACAGCTGGGACCCTCTGCCAGACTGTGGTGGGCTATGGGGGCCTCAAAGTCAGACCTGAGTCTCCGTGTGGGGCACACTGGCAAAGCAATCACCTCCTACTCATGTTACAGAGAGGGAAACTGAGGCTGAGGCCTGCAGGCCATCTAGTGGTGGTGATGACTGAAGACACCGCAGAAACCACCTAGAGCGTGGCCCGGCCCGGAAAGGGTCCTTACAGCTGCACTGCCACCACCACCGCCACCACCGAGGTCATAATTGCTCTGAAATCGCAAACGAACCCAATTATGCAAAAACGAAATTATATGCGATGATTTTTATGTTGCAAACGTTCGGTGGAAGCCGGGTGATTACAGGGGGACGGGAAGCAGCTGCCACTCTCTGGGAGCCCATAACTCCCAACAGCTGGGAACTGTCACTTATTTACGATGCTGTTTCTGCCGGGAATGAGGGGGTGGCAGTGGTGGCTGGGCCTGCCTGAGACTGGCCAGGAGGCTAAGCCAGCAGCAGGCCTGGGAGCCTGGCCTAGTGGCCCAGGTGAGGCTGGGAGCAGGCCTGTCGGAGAGTGGCCAGGAGTGTGAGTTCTTTCTACATGCTTTGGGCAGAGCTGACAGCAGGAATCAGCTGAGCTGCCCCAGGGCCTGGCCTTCTCCCCAGAGGCCCGGCTGGCCAAGCTGGAAGGGACGGGCAAGAGGCCAAACCTGGGCAGGGACAAGATGGCTGCCTGTCCCTGCAGGGTGGGGGTTACCGGCTGGAGCCTGTCCTCGCACGCTGGCGCGCCTGCCGGGCAGCCTGGGGCAGCTGCGACCCTGGAAAAAGGCAGGTAATGATGATCGCCTATAATGAGGCCTCTCGGATAATGAGCACGGGGCTATTATCCGACCACAGGCTGGACACATCCGAAAATAAATTATTTTAAGGATCCATTAACGAATGCCTAATTAATGCCAATTAGAGGGAAGCTACAGAGGAAATGCTCCGGACGGTCGAGAGGCAAAGCCTTGTTTGCAACCACCAGCCGGGAGCACATGCCTGGGAGTGAGGTGCGGAGAGGGGAGGGGCCAGAAGATGGACCAGATAAGGGGGGCCCCAAAACCAGGCAGCCCTGGTGTCTCCCCCCAGCCTTCACACACGTCCCCTTAGCACATCCTCACAGCGCCGCAAGGAGAACACTAGTACTATTTAGAAATAAGGAAACTGAGTCACAGAGCGCTGTCACGTATTTGAGGACACAGAAGGCACCCTAAATGAGACAGCTTTTGAGATGAACTTTGGTGTCTTGCATGCATGCTTTGTTATTAAGAAGACGCTAAAAGACTTGAGGCGCCTGGGTGGCTCAGTCGTTGGGCGTCTGCCTTGTTCAGTCGTTGGGCTTGTGCCTTCGGCTCAGGTCATGATCCCGGAGTCCTGGGATCGAGCCCCTGCATCCGGCTCCCTGCTTCTCCCTCTTCCGCTCCCGTGCTTGTGTTCCCTCTTTCACTGTCTTTCTCTGTCAAATAAATAAAATATTAAAAAAAAAAAAAAGAATACATTAAAGGACTCTTCAGGCCTCCATATATTTACTTTGTTAGACCAGGAGTCTGTATCAGTACCTGTTCATGTGCTGTTATAGGAGTAAGTGGCAGAGCTGGGAGAGGAACGCCCACCCCAGGACGGCCCGTGGGAGTCTGGGGGCGGGGCTAGGGCTTGGGGCGGGACTTTAGGGCACGGCGCGCGTTCCGGGCGCGCGTCCCCGAGCTCTCCTCGCAGCGGGGCCTGTAGTTGGCCCCCTCCGCGGGGGTGGAGCGCCAGAGTATCATCTGTCGCCGCGTGAGGGCCCCGCTTGGGCCTGACCCCCGCCTTCCTCCCAGCAGGAACCTCCCACAGAGGGCTGCCACCCCAGACCGCCGCTGAGCTGGGCACAGCCCAGGACAGAGCCCTGCCAAGGGGTGGGGGGATGGTTCGCCCGTCCGTCCCCCGCCTCCCCGAGCCACCCCTGACCTGGCTGTGCTCTCTCTCCCCTCTCCATCCCCCGCCCCCCCAGGGTGCTGTGTGGAACTATTGCTGCTGCTGCTGGCTGGGGAGCTGCCCCTGGGTGGCGGCTGCCCGCGAGACTGCGTGTGCTACCCGGCACCCATGACGGTCAGCTGCCAGGCGCACAACTTCGCCGCCATCCCCGAGGGCATCCCAGAGGACAGCGAACGCATCTTCCTGCAGAACAACCGCATCACCGTCCTCCAGCAGGGCCACTTCAGCCCGGCTATGGTCACCCTGTGGATCTACTCCAACAACATCACCTTCATTGACCCCAACACCTTCGAGGGCTTCGTGCACCTGGAGGAGCTGGACCTTGGCGACAACCGGCAGCTGCGGACGCTGGCGCCGGAGACCTTCCAGGGCCTGGTGAAGCTGCACGCCCTCTACCTCTACAAGTGTGGGCTCAGCGCCCTGCCCGCAGGCATCTTCGGCGGGCTGCACAGCCTGCAGTACCTCTACCTGCAGGACAATCACATCGAGTACCTCCAGGACGACATCTTCGTGGACCTGGTCAACCTCAGCCACCTGTTCCTCCATGGCAACAAGCTGTGGAGCCTGGGCCAGGACACGTTCCGGGGACTCGTGAACTTGGACCGGCTGCTGCTGCACGAGAACCAGCTGCAGTGGGTCCACCACAAGGCTTTCCACGACCTCCGCCGGCTGACCACCCTCTTTCTCTTCAACAACAGCCTGTCGGAGCTGCAGGGCGACTGCCTGGCGCCCTTGGGAGCCCTGGAGTTCCTCCGCCTCAACGGGAATGCCTGGGACTGCGGCTGCCGGGCGCTCTCGCTGTGGGAATGGCTGCGGAGGTTCCGCGGCTCCAGCTCTGCGGTCCCCTGCGCCTCCCCCGAGGCGCGCCAAGGCCAGGACCTGAAGCTGCTGAAGGCCGAGGACTTCCGGAACTGCACGGGGCCAGCCTCGCCGCACCAGATCAAGTCGCACACGCTCACCACCACCGACAGGGCCGCTCGCAAGGAGCACTACCCGCCCCGCGGCCCCGCCAGGGACAAGGGCCACCCTCATGGCCACCTGCCCGGCTCCCGCCCAGGCTACAGGAAGCCCGGCAAGAACTGCACCAGCCACAGGAATCGCAACCAGGTGTCCAAGGCGGGTGCCGGGAAGCAGGCCCACGAGCTGCAGGACTACTCCCCTGACTACCAGCACAAGTTCAGCTTTGACATCCTGCCCACCACCCGGCCCAAGAGGAAGGGCAAGTGTGCCCGCAGGACCCCCATCCGTGCCCCCAGCGGGGTGCAGCAGGCCTCTTCGGGCAGTTCCCTGGGAGCCTCCCTCCTGGCCTGGATACTGGGGCTGGTGGTCACTCTTCGCTGAGGACCTGGGCCACCAGCACCCAGCACTGCCACACGTCCACCAAGGAACAGAATCTCTTTTCTTTTTTTGAACAAGTGGAGGGTCTGCTGGGTTTCGGGCAAAGGCTGGTAAAGGCTTCAGCTGCTGTCTGGGCCCTGCCCCCGTGGATTATAAAACCCAAAGTGTACAGCCCCAAAGTGGGAAGGGATTTGAGCATCACACCCAGCTGTCCCAGCCAGGCCCTGGTGAGCGCCCGCAGACAGCATCCATCCGGCAAGGCAGTTAAAGCACGCAAAATGAATCCTTCATTAGCAACAATGGGACAGTGCCCCCCGCCCACCCAGGAGCTGGGCTCTGTGGAATCCCAGTCACTGGAGAGGTCTGAAGGGCCCCGCCATTCCTGGAGGAAGCAGGACTCAGAGGAGAACAGACGAGGCTCACCCAAGCGGCTGGGTGGCCCAGCCATTTGGGAGCACAGGAGCAGGTGACATTTTGGCCCTTGCCTGAGGCCACAGAGTCAACCTGCCCTCATTCCAGCCCTTAGTCTCTCCCCCAGGGGGGAACGCCTCTCATTCCTGATGTCTCAGGCAACCCTGGCAGACCCAGGCCCAGCTGCTGGGCTCCAAGAACCAATTACCAAAGGAAAGATCATCAGAGGCTGAAATTCAGAACTGCATCGAATGCAGTGAGGCTCTCACAGGAGGTGAAGTTATAACTTGACTTATAACTAAACTTGACTTATAACTTGACTTATAACTAAGTCAACTTATATATATATACATGTATATATATATATATATATACACACTGTCCACACACATGCACAGGGCCCCTCCCCACTCCCCTACCAAACTGTATGTCTTCTCATGTTTATAAACTATACAGAAAACTATATCTGTTGAACTAAGGGTTGTATTGGTGATTTCTAGCAAGAGAAGAGTTGTAGGGTTTTTGTCTAGAATCCCAGCCTGGCAATGACAGTCCCCGTCATAACCTGGGCTTGCCAGGGCCTAGGGCAAAGTGTCAGTGGGAAGGGCCAGGGAGAAGAAGGGGAGGCAGCAAGAATCACTTCAGGGGACCAATCTTCGATGTTTAGAGCATCGCCTTGTTTTTATATGCAACACAAGTCCGGCTGCCACCCCAGAGCACCCCATCACCCCCACTGTACCGGGGGTCGTTGTCAGGGGCGAGAAGTGAGAAGCAGCTCATGGGACATCAGGGAGTCAGGCCCTAGGGGAGGGCTTGATGGAGAAGGGAACCAGGAGGGGCTCTGGGTCTTTTTTTTGCCGATGGGCAGGCAGCAACCACAGTGTTAGCTCAAGAGGCCGGGCAGTGTCATCGTTGGCCTAGCATTTTTGCCAGTGACAGTCTGGACAGGCTGGGGAGACTCCGGGCATGAGCCCAGGACTCCAGCACGGCTCAGCTGCTGAATTTTTCCTTGAGGCTCTTTGATGGCCAGCCCAGCAAGGGTCCTGTGCTCTGTGGCAGGAGGGAAAGCATCAGGTGGCCTTAGCAGAAGGGGAACAAAGAGGGCATTTCAAGAACCATCTCAGGCATTTCTGCGTTACGGAGGCCCCCTCCCTCCTGGCCCTTCTGAAGATGCCCAGGGACCGGCGGCGGTGGTGGAGGGGGCCAGACTCAGGGGTCAGGAGTGGGGATGTGTGCAGGGCATGGAACAGGCAAGCCCAGTCAGGGGACAGTGGCTCCAGTCAAGGTTGGCCATGCTGCTGACCAGGGCCCTGCTGGGCGCCATCTCCTCTGAGCTCTGCCCAAACCTGAATTCCCCACCAGAGAGGATATGTGTGAGGAGCAAGAAACACTGAATCCAATGAAGAGAGAAAAACAATAATAAAAAAAATTTCTCTTGGACAAGAACCCTGTTTCTCATTTCCTAACCCTACATTCCCGAAGTGGTGGCAGATCGCAGGCTTTTGTGGGGTGGGCGAGCCTGGCCAGGCACAGCGTGTTTGCTGGCAGGAGGAGCCATATGGGGCAGGGGCACGCTGACTCACTGGGATACGTGTGTGCACATGTGTGCGAACACACGCACACACACATACACACGTTCTCCGTTCTAGGGTTCTTCCCTCACCCTCACAGAACATGACTCATTTCCCACACCCTGGCTGTGGATCGGCCCAGTCTCTGCGGCTCTTTCTGGACCAGGCTGGTCCTGGATCCTTCCTGGCTGGTTCCCAAGAGCAGCACCCGCGGCAGCTGAGCTGTGTGGATTCCTCGGGGCCTCAGGAGTGGCCGGAAGGGAGCTGCCAGTTCCTGGGGCCCAGAGGGCTTCCCAGGAGGCCAGGGATCCACTGAGACAGCAGCAGAGAGGGTCTGGGGGCTCCACCTGCCTCTCTCGCTTTAGAGAAATGAGGCAGTTCTCTCCTCGGTAGAGAGGGGAGAGCTGGGTTTTCAGGTGTGACTGAACAATCTTCCTTGGTACAAGGCTTGAAACCTGCACTAACAGGAGCGCGGGGACGGCAGAGCAAAACACACGCTCTCCCGCTGCCCGCCCTCTCTTCCCAGGCCGTGCCGGGCCCCGGCTGTCCCTCGGAACCAGAGGATGTTGTCCTGTTGTTGATTTCATTTCCAGCGTCAGACAGCAAAGCCCTCAGTGGGAAAATCAAGAGTCCAAACACTTTATTAAATTTTTTTAAACAGACTTAGTAAGTCCTGCAATATGAAAGTGAAATGTCAGTATGAGAAATGCTAATGTTTTATCAATGACCGCCTCTGTCAAGTGCAGCTCGGTCTCTGGCTGCCAACTGTTATTAGAGGCGAGGCAGAGGGGCCCAGGACGCCGGGTGTATTTTTAGCAGCTTTCTCCTCTAAGAGATAGCGGGAATGAAAGCGTCTCTATCGTGAATGACATCACTTGTCACTCAGCAGCTCACAGGCCACGCGGGAACGATGGCACCATTGCCCAAAGCACCAGAGCAAGTTGACCAGCCAGGGGCTAGACCTCTCTGGTCACCAGACGAAGCATTCCTCCTGGGTGAGCCAGGGCCTGGAGATGTGACTTCCTGCCTCTGGGAATCCTGTCCTCCTCCTCTGTTCCTAACAGGGTCACCCCTCTGCCATCTTCACTCGGCTCTTTCCCTTCAACAAGTGCTGATCAAAGGCCTACATGTGCCCGCCGTTGGCGCAGGCTCTGGGAACATAAAAGTGGGAAGATGTGACTCTCCTATAAAGAGTGCAGGGCTAGATGTGGAAACAGGTATGTGATTGGTGCCTCTGGTAGTGGCCCTTCCCCCACCGTGAGAAAGTCAACTGAGGTGAGGACGGTCCAGGAGGACTTCCAGGTGAGGGTGACACCTGATGGCTCTAACAGGATGAGGAGGTGGCCAAAGAAGAGTGCGGGGAGTATTCGCGGCAGAAGGCTGGAGGGTTACAGCAGCTTCATGCTGGTTTGGGATACCAGCAGAGAGCTATGAGTTGAGGACTGTGAGGGGTGGTGGGCGTGGGAGGCGAGCCTGGCAAGGGGAAGGTTGGGGGAATCCTACTCAGGGACTTGGCCTTGACTCTGCAGTGGTGGTATGGCTCCCCTCTGCGGTCTTCTTCCCTACCCCACACCCCCAGCGTCTTTCCGAGCACGTGTCCCCACTCGTGGCATGCTTGCCAATGTTCCTCAACAGTGGGTTTCATCATCCTAACTTGCCTCTTCTGCTCAGCCAGATCCTTCCCTTGTGCCAGCATGCTGGAGCGCTCCCTGGAAATCTGCCTGGGCCACAGTCCCATTCCCAGACACCTGCTGCTTCCAAGCCCGGAAAGTATCCCATAGCCATTTTGCCCCCCGTGCTTCCTCCTTTCCCCTCCACTCAGGGCTCAGCCCTCAGCCCCTCCCTTGCCTCCAGGCATGGCCACCTCTACCTGTGCCCCCTTTGGCTGACCACTGGCAACCCCCAGAACCCTCCAGACAGCATCTCCCCCTTATTTTCTCCTGCTAGGGGCTGTTCATTACCAGGGAGCCAAGAATCCCATTTAGCAAATGTTTACTTGTCACCTAACTAATCACCCAGCACTCTGCCACTGTGATGAACGTGATTCTAGAAGGCCTATTGGCAAGTTTGAGAGAGCCAGGGAGTGGGGGGCAGGAAAGCTTCTTGGAGGACAAGAGGCAGGGCCCAGGGGTCAGAGAGAGCATGTTTGCTGGGAGGGCTCCCTGGGCCCGACAGCAAATCTCTCCGAGGCTCACCACCTGCCCAGGCTGTCCCCACATGTCCCTGGCCAGAACTCACCTCCAGGACCCAGCTCCTCAGGGCCCTTCTCCAGCTCGACCCGGAGGATGCCAGCCTTTCCCTTCACACATTGTTTGATTGACTGAAGTGTGTGTACATTTCGACTGGATCCGGGTCAAGCCATGCTGCTGAGCCCGCTGACCCGGCCATGGTGACATTCTGGCTCGTCTCCCCCCAGTCTGGCTCTCCAGACTCACCTTCCTCCAGTGGGAGTTTCACACATCAGCCGTTGTTCCACCCTGTGTCACCGATCCCCCACTATCAGCTTGTAATGGGCCAATTTTCTTATACCTTCTGTCTACTTGGAAACTATCTCAAGAACCCTTTGATTGCACATTAAAATATCTTTTACAGCTCCATGCTCCATATCTCTTTCTGCTCCCCTAATTGTCCCTTTCAACTCACTGTGCTTTCAGAGCAAATATCGTGGTCTCCCCTTTGCAGGCTGTTAATAAATACAAGCTCTAAAAAAACACACATAAACATCTATTGTTGGCTAAGTAACTCACCACACAATCAAAAAGGGAGGCTCAGCGCCAGGCGTGCCCACCTGTACCTTCCCCCTCGATGTCCTCGCCTGTCTCATTCAAGGGGGCCGCTGGACTCAGGAAGGTTTATGGCCATAAGATGTCCCCTGGGTGAGGGGACCAGGGAAGCCCAGGGGAAAGCAAAGCGAGTAGCTAGGGGTGCTGTGTGGACAGGCCTCCCTCCCAGAGTAACGAGGGAGAGAGGAGGACAAAGGAGCCCCCTGTGTGGGTCACAGTGGCTAATTCAAGTGACATTTCAGTGGACTGGTCCGCAAGGCCCTTTACCTCCAAAAGAAGTGGGTCGGGCTCCTCCGAGATCCGGCTCCAGCCTGCACTGATGTGGCCTAGCCCCCCACCTCTCTCCTTTCAGCTCTCATTTCTCATTAGAGCCGGGAGTTTCTAAGCACCGGCGGAGTGGGGAAGGCTGGGCCTTTTGTGTCATGGATTTCTGTGTGTGCACACTAATGGCACGCCTGAATGGCAGAATTTGACACGACCGCTGCAACACCTGCTTGGGTCACCGTGCTTTCCAAATTGGCTGAGGCTCCATGCAGACCCAGGCGTCTCAGGGGGGCCCTGCTTCTGCTGCTCCCTCTCGGGGCCTCGGGAAAGAGAGAGGAATCGAGAGAAGCATGAAACTCTTCCATCTCTGTAAGTACAGTTTCCCCAGGGGGCAGGCTCTAAGGAAGGAGGAGAGGCAAGTGCTCAGGGCCTAAACAGGTGGGAGACCTCCCAGGCAACCGGCCCCTTATCACGAGCCCTCCCCTGCCCAGGTTCGGAGACAGTCACAGGCAGGACCGTGATGCCCTCTGCACGGCAGCTGACTGGAATCAAGATGTGGATCCTCCAGGTGACCTCTTACCGCTCCAGCCAGAGAGAAAGAGATGCAAGGGATCCTCTCCAAGTAAGACTTCTTTGGTGAGGCGGGGCCAGCAGGACAAACCCAATGAGGGACTCCTGGCCTGCGCTGGGGTCACAGACGGACCGGGCAAGGGAAGTTCAAGTCCCAGTGAGACCCTAAAGGGAGTGCACGTACAGTGTCTCCAGGAGACAGGAAGCACAACCCTATGGGGCTGTCAGGCACCGAAGAGAGCAGGGAGAGATGCAGACAGACAGACAGACAGACAGGAGGGCACACTAGAAAAAGAAACATTTTGCACCTGCAGGCATGCGCACACTGCTCAGCCACCACCTCCTGTCACTGTCCCTCCTGTGACTGAGCGTGGGACATGCGTGCTGTCCACAGATCTGACCACCAAGCATGTGAGTGGCCCAGCCAGGCCCTGGAAAGCCATGGAACAAGAGTGCCCATCCACAATGGGCTTATCTGCCGGCTGATAGCAACCCCTTTTGATTACAAGGGGCTGGTTAGAAGAGGGACAGAGGGCCCATTCTCCCCACACACGGGTGACCATTCATCAGGGACACTGGCAGGGGCGTGACGAGCAGCCCATTGTCGTCTGAGCACTGAGCCTCTGTGTTTCCCACTGAGCCTTGACCCTAAAGGGGCTCGTCCAGCTCCTGGCACTATGGCGGTTCTGAAGAGGCCACTAGCCCTTAATCTACAGATTCTGGGCCTGTCCTGCGCACGCCTCAGCTCAGAGCTGCAGGCCAGCCGGGCTGCATTGACATTCTGCCCCCACGCTCAGGGTCACAGGGGTCTCCAAGGTGTTTTTATTCTTCATCCTGGCGTCTGAGCCTCCGAGGCTCCGGGTCCCTGACCTCTCATCTCGCCTGCCACCTGGAGAATCTCTCACTTTTTATCTGTGGCATTTAAAGTGCCACTGAGCGTCTGGCACTTAGTAAGCCTCAGATACAGGCTTTTCTGAATTTCCACACCAGCCCTCTTTCCAGAAGCCACTGCAAGCTCGCTTCCTCACCTGTGTCTCTGCCAGCTGTGACCTGAGTTTGTGGGAAAGGGGTTCACAGCCCCACCCTGGGTGGGCCCCACTGGGCTCTCTGTGAACCACATGCCTCCCAATGGCCCCTGATCCCAGATCAGTCCCGCTGTGCTTCCTGCCCCTGCCCCAGCACACCACAGAACGGCCCTCTTGCCTCACAGGTGAGGCACGCCAGGCACCGGACTCCTAGACTAGCTCCTCTCTCCTCT